CCCGAGTGGGTAAGGTAGCTTACCGGTTGGAGCTACCTGTAGAGTTGATCCAGATTCATAACACCTTCCACGTGTCCCAGCTGAGAAGTGTGTAGTCGATGAGACGACAGTGGTACCCTTAGAGGACATTCAGGTGGATGCGAGCCTGAACTACATTGAGAGACCGATAGCGATCTTGGATAGGAAGGTGAAAGTTTTGAGGAATAAGGAAGTGTCTTTGGTTCAAGTTCAGTGGCAACAGCGGAAGGGATCCGAGTGGACTTGAGAGCCGGAGTCCGAGGTGCGAGAGCAGTATCCAGAGTTATTCTCAGGAAACGAATTTGAGGGCGAATTCTGATTCTAGTGGGGGAGAATTGTAACATCCCGAGTCCCAGGTATAATATTTTTATATTTTTCATGATTTTGACTGAGCAACTCGACGAATTGGAGTCCCCAACTCGTCGAGTAGAGAGGGTTTTGGGCCGCGTGGGTTTTACGACCGACTCGACAAGTTGGAGGGACCAACTCGACGAGTTGACGCTGTGAGAGGAAACCCTAATTTTTCGGGTTTCTGTCCTATTTAAAGGGCCTTAAGCCCTCATTTCCGCCACCCTTGTTACTTTAGAGCTTTGTGAGAAACCCTAGACCAGTTCCACTCGTTGTGTGTGTGTGAGAGAGAGAAAGAAAGAGAGAGAGAGAGAGAGAAACTAAATTGAGTGTTCTTGTGTATCTTTGGAAGGAGATTTGGAGAGCATTGCGGATTGGATCGAGGAGGGGCTGTGGATCCAATGTTCTTCAATGATTAGCTTCTGTGTGGAGGTAAAAAGCTACTATCTTGATCATTTCTTTGTGAGATCTTAGTTTAGGGAGTTTTTAGAGTTTTCTCTCATCCATCTTGTGTTATTGAGTCACTTGAGCATATCATGAGGTTGAAACCTCAGATCTGGACAGTAGGAGGTTTGGAGAGCCCAAAGATCCGAGCTTTAATGAGCTAGAGGCAAGCTTTTGTGCATCCAACCCAAAATGGAACTTGTTTTGGCATTTCAAGCCTTAAGTGCCATGCATGGACGTAAAGATTGCTTCTTTATGTGGTATCCCAGCCTTGGGAGGCTATATCTAGAGTTTAGGGTTGTAACTCTGTCTTAAAATGTCTGAATGAGAAAAATAGACTTAAGGGACTCGCCGAGTTGATGAGCCAACTCGACGAGTCGGCTAGGGTTTTCCTCGACAAGTCTGGACATGAGTAATTCGGTGAGTTGATGAGACAACTCGACGAGTTAAGTTGGATTTTCGCGACATTTCTGAATGAACGAGGGGTTTCGACGAGTCACATAGTTTCACTCGACGAGTTGGGTCAACATGGACTGTTGACTCGAGTGTTGACTTCGGTTGACTTTAGGGTTTGGTCAAGTCGGGGATTATGGAGACCATGGAGGGGTAAAATGGTCTTTTGCCCATCCCAAGAGATTAGAGAAAGAAAATAGCTTGGTTTATTTAGAGTGTGATTTAAGTGTTAATTAGAGATAATTATCGTATGTGTTATGCGGAGGCTAGATCGGTGATTCGTGTACGAGGTTTATTTGCTTGCTTACGAGGTGGGTCTTCTCACTATACTTACATTGAGTGGTAATTTGTGTGACCGGAGGGTCTTGTATGCTATTATTGAGTATTGTGATATCCTACATTATGTCTTTGTGATTTATGCTGTGTATTATTCTGAGCTTTACTGAGTTAGGATCGGAGGGTCCACCCGAGTTGTGGGACCGAAGGGTTCCACCGAGACACATTGACCGGAGCGTCTTATTCGAGATATAGCCATGCGAGGCTAATGAGATGTGTGTGGTATTTTGGGGAACTCACTAAGCTTCGTGCTTACCGTGTTATGTGATATGTGTTTCAGGTACTTCTCAGGATCGCGGGAAGGCGCCGGCTTGACTGTACACACGAGATGGAGATTATGTTTTGAGGATCCTGAATTTTATCAAATAATTGTTTTTAACAATTTGACAATTGTGGTTTTTGGAATATAATATTGAGATTTATGTGGTTTTGGAAATGAAAATTTTGCTTGAAAATTTAGAGCGTTACACGCAGACTCCTAGCATCCTAACATAATCAATAAAGGCTGAAATTAGTGCCTTCGACACACTAAACCCAGTGAGGAAACTCACCTCAAATGCTGAATCTCATAAAAAGAAATCCCTAGTTACTGCCCTGACGACTCCCCGATCTCATGTCTAAACTTTAGATCCATTCATAATGGAACGTCTAAAGCCATGAAGTTGCAAACTTTATGGCCATGCATGGCTACAATGAGCCCAACACCAATATCCTAACTCAAAATCAACTATAAGGCTCCAAAACTCCTGCATGGAAGATTATGAGGACCCAATATTGCATTTTATGATTCTAGACTCACTACTATGCTTGAAAGGACAGTCCAAATCTCTGGAGCATTCCAAAATCACAAAGATCAAGTATTTGGGACCAAAAAGAACACAAACTAGCCCTAAGTCAAGATCTAACAAATGAGACATCAAGATCTGAACTTATACCTCAAAATGATGCTCAAATATGTCAAGAGTCCATATCCACAAGCTAGAGAGCAACCACAATACTCCAGAGATCTTCATTCTCTTATCAAGAACACTAAATGACACCAAAAAGATGAACCAAGGCTTCAAACTCTCATACACACTTAGGGTTTTCGAAATGAGGATGGAGGCTGGAGTGGTAAAGGGTTTTGAAGCCATAATGTTCTTTAAATAGGGTGCAAACCCTATAAATTAGGGTTTCGTCTCTACGTGCAAATGCCTGACATCTATCATAGAACGCCTGGCGTTTGAACGCCTAGCGTTCCATGCCAAACGCTTGGCGTTTGGACCAAAGTGTCAAAAATTAACACAACAAGGTTAAAAGTGTAAATACATGGAAACCATGGTGCTACAGTATGACATGTTTGGTAATTTACCCTGTAAAATATTGTTAAATAGCGGAGACGCTCCAAGCACATTCAAGTCGTTGTTTGACCACGCCATACCAAATAATGCATGCCAAAACCACAGGTCATGTGAAACAACTGCCTCTAATATAATAGTCAACACACAATGATCACCTAGCGTGAATTGACATCGCCATGCATTGAGACAATTTGCCCACTCCCAATGTGTACAATCAAGGCTACCAAACATTTATGGAAAACCATGTTTAGCTTGACGTGCGACATACAACTGTTCGACATCACTTGTAGTCGGATTTCGCAAGTATATGTCACCGTAAAACTCTATAACATACTCAGAAAAAAATATGCACGTTCTCGACCTGTCCTCTCAGACATTTTCAAATAATCGTCCGATGCGTCTGCAACTATGTCGTATGCCAATTGTCTAAGAGTTGCTGTGCAGTTTTTTAGTGGTGGAACCAATCTATTGTCACGGATAGCACGTGCTACCCCATGTTATTCCCACAAGTATTAATGATGTTGGGATTTTATTTTTCTATGTACACAGGCTTAATAAAAAGTCAAAAAAACTATATTTTAGTACAATTGCAACCCACTAAATAAATTAATTCTTCGCCACAAGGCATTTCTCTTTCTTTGTTAACATTAATGATCTACATATTATTATCAACTTTGTTTAATTCATATATCACGTTACCAAGTTTGAATTATAATTATAAGGCATTTCTCTTTCTTTGTTAACATTAATTATCTACGCATTATTATCAACTTTGTTTAATTCATATATCACGTTACCAAGTTTGAATTATAATTATATTTGCAAGTATGCTATTTACCATATACCAAATCCCCAAATACATATATAGATTTATTGAGATATATCATATACATTACACCACTTAAATTTTTATTTAAGATGTATTTTTTTCAAATATTTTATATTAATTGTGATATTTTCTTAATGCGGTTCGATTATCGGTCAGTTTGATGGCCACAACAAACTTAAAAACGTTGTTTTTTTTTGGGTCAAGTTTAAAATGCAAGACTTTTGCGCTATTTTTTATATTTAATGAAATCGTAATTTAAAAAAAATTATCTTAATATCTTTTATTGAGATTTTTTTGTGCTACCCTTTGCAAAATTTTATGGTTCCACAACTGCATTTTTGTATTGTAGTAAAACTACGTTTAACTTTACATCCCATCTCAATTGAAAAAACTCATAACTGTTTGCCAAATCTCTAGCTATACGTAAGTTTAAATTTCTACTAATACGAAAACGTTCTTCGAATTTTGATAGGTTGTATAAACTACCAGAGACAAAGTAATCATGTACCAAAAGCTCGTTTGCCGCAATACGATCCCAGTTGATCGAAGGTCTACGCTTCTTCTCGACATTTGAACGTTTTGCTATTTGACACATTGTCGCGTGCCGTTGACAACAACATGTACACAACCAAATCATCATCATAATCATCATCATCATCATCATCGGATGAAGAAGAAGAAATTGAAGCCAAAAAATTATTCATATTGTTGAAAGAGTGTGTTTGTAGGATGAAAAACATGTTTAAGTGTATGTATTTATAGGGATTAAGTTTAATTATTATTATTATTATTATTATTTTATGGCGCTAACGCACAAAAGAAACGGTCAAAATGCATTAACCAATCAAAACGCCCGTGAACGTTCGTAGCCAAAGCCACTTCACAAGACACCTACGCCCCTTGGGGGCGGTGTTCATGCATGAGTTGATGTGTCACGTTCACGCGTAGGGTTGTGCCCCATACCAAAAAGCCTTATCTATTTGGTACTTGGTAAGTCCAATCGTCGGTTCTCAAATAAGCTAAAAGAACCCGGTATCGGTTTGTCTCTTTGCTTGAAGGAGTAGATTTAATTATTATTTAGACTTTAGAATAGATTTATTGATCATGTGATTCTTTTCTCCATTTCATAATTTCTTGGTTTGAGAAAGCAAGAGGGATTCATGAGGTCCAAGCCCAACCCGCAAGTTTAAATGAACAGCCCAAAGCCCCAAATTGCATCCGATAATTGAGACAATGGGGGCAAAATGCTCCATTGAAAAAAGGTGTGACGTGGGGGATGAAGATTCAAGAACATGAACATCTACGTGTCAAAACTTGCAAATTGCGATCCACACCCATCAAACGGCGGGATATTCAGCGAAACTTTTTATTTTCTCCCGCTCTCTGTTCAAAATCGAAAACAAAAAAAATCGAAGACAGCTGTAAAATCCCCTTTTTACCCTTGCCGTCATTCATTTCATTCCAATCACTATCCATACTCCTTCCCCGAGAAGCTTTGCATTTCGTTCATCTATCCCTGCGATTCATTCATCTCATGCTTTCATCAGTTTCTCATCGACGATCTGTAGTCTCATCGCCACCAATCTTCCGGATTTCAGTCTCTTTTCAAATCACCACCACTTTTCCCACGTCCGGTGAACAAGTTGGGAAGAACGATGGAAAACCATCAAAATTCGCCGTTTGACCGTCCATCTCAAGTCTTCCGTGGCATTCGCTTTGTTCTTCTTGGTTTCGATCCTATCAACAAAGCTCAGGTTCAAAATAGTTTTTTTGGTTATTGATTTGTTCATATCTTTCACATTGCTCAGTATGATGGCTTGATGGAGGATATGTTGTTGGAGACTACCCCTCTTAACAAACTTGTGTTCATTTTATAAGTATTTAATTGCTACCAAGAGGTATTTCGAACTTGGACTTATCGCTTCATTTATTTTGAATTATATTTACAGGTTTCGCGGAAGCTTGTTAATGGCGGAGGCATTGATGCTGGTCTATATGGTCCCAGTTGCACTCATGTTATTGTCAATAAGCTTGTTTATGTAAATTTACTACCCCTCGTTGTTATGTCACCTTCCCGGATTCCCCAATTTGTATTTCATGTGCTTTTTCTTGTATTAGACTACCGGAGTCCGTTTTTGTTTATGTTTGTATATTCCAGTTTCAGCTATTGATAATTTAACTATAGATATCTTCGTGTTGCTTGTTGCAGGATGATCCCGTCTGTGTTGCTGCCAGAAGAGATGGGAAGATATTAGTCTCTGGCCTATGGGCTGATCATAGCTTTGACGTTGGAGTACCTGTGGATCCAACCTCGGTAATTACCCCCATCCAATTCGCAAACATTTAGATGCACCCTTCCACCATATGCACACAAAATTAGTTCTTAGAAGTTCCTTGAGATTCAAAAAGGGAGGACAGCTTATTATGATCTTTTCCACGATATGAAAATCGAAAAAAACCATTGCAAACTTTTTGCAGCACTGATACTAGTTCTAATCACAGGTGATGTACAGACCAGTGAGAGATTTGAACGGGATTCCAGGTGGAAAGTCACTAGTTATATGTTTAACAGGATATCAACGTGAAGATCGGGAGGACATTATGGTTTGCCTATTTCTGATCTGCTAACTGCACTCAAACATTTTTATTCAACAAGATAATGGCTTTATATAATCTGAAATTATCCAATGTTATAAATTACAGACCATGGTTGATTTGATGGGTGCGCAGTTTTCAAAACCACTGATAGCAAACAAGGTTACTCATCTTATATGCTACAAATTTGAAGGTGTCATATGTTCTCTTCTTGGCTATACTTCATTCTTTTTGTCTTTTGGTTATCTTTTTAGATGAAAGATCAAGTTTTTTTTCTTTGATAAACTATGAATGGTCCTCCAGCATTTGCATTTTTATATTGGCATGCCTAGTGTTTAAGATTGTTGAGGTTTTATCAGGAGAGATGTTCATAGTTCCTCCTTGTCACCTGTTTATGTAATTTGTATATCCTGTTCTATATTGTTATGGTTGGAAGTGTAAACTGTTAATTTTCAATTTGATAGGGGAGAAGTACCTGCTTGCAAAGAAAATGAAGAGGATAAAGCTTATTAACCATCGATGGTTAGAAGACTGGTATGAATCTTGTTTGCTTACTCTTTATGTGTTATATAGGCTATCTCTTCCTGAGACTTTGTTTACCTTTTTTATAATTTATTTGTTTATTTCATTATACTGTAAGCTTCTATAAAGTTCAAATTTCTGACCTTGATTTCCTCTCTTCATTTTCCAGTTTAAAGGCCTGGGAGATTGTCCCAGAAGCAGATTATACTAGAAGGTGAGACTGAATTTTTCTGTCAATTGTATATGTATGCACATCTTATATAAAATACATCTTTATAGTTATTCATTGAAATGCTTTTTTGTTTTAACTACAGTGGTTATGAGCTGGAGATGGAGGCTGAAGCCAAAGATTCTGAAGATGAAGCAGGAGGTGTTGCTACTGGACTTACTGAAGTGAAGAAGGAAAGCCCGTATAATTCTGTGATGTTAAAGCAGGATGTTTCAACAAGTATACCAAATACCAGTGCTTCTAAAGGGTTTGAAAATGCCAATAACAATGTGTCAGTGACTATGAAGACCACATCTGATCGATTTCTCAATCCCCATGAGAATGTTGTTGGTCTTACCTGTGAGCCATCCAATCTATTTAAAGGAACTACCAGTGGTTCAGCATCCAAGAAATCTCCTTCAAACGAATCAAGAAATGTCATGTCTTCAATTTACTCTAGGAAAGTGCCAATGGGAACCACACCTCCAACAGCAGACACAACAAACGATATGAACAGTGCTAAAAGACTGGATAAGATTAATCTGAGTGATGCCTTCAATATGTCTTCACCTTTTGTAGAAAAAGAGGAGCAAAATGGATCATCTTTTGGTAAGAGGAAGATGGAGATTTCTTCTGGTAGTTCTAAACTACAAAAAATGAGTCGCAATGAAGACACATTGAATAGAGAGAGTCTCCATGTGGAAAGTGTATTTCAAGAAAAGGAAAAGAATCCCTCTACTGAAATGAGCAACCATGTATCACCTGGGACTGGCATCCCTTATGTAAGTGATAGATCTCCTGTAAGTCCTGCACAAAATGTCCCCTTCAACAGCAGTGAAAAGAAGCTGTTAAGTTCTAAGGGTAAAAGTGTAACATGTGATGAAATTTCTACCCCACCTGTACAAGACAAAGGCTTTGATGCAGAATTGAAGGAAGCCAGTGTAGCATCAAAGTTTGGTAGCAGAGATGTTGATATGGTACAACAATTTGAATTTGAAATACCTGCAGCTCAGAAGCCAGAACATGTGATGCAAAGTCTTGAGAAATCATCTCCTTCTGCTGTAACTTGTGATCTTGAGAAATCCAGTACTCCAAACTTGGAGATTAATGAACAGAGCGCTGGATCAGGCTCAAAATCTGTTAGAAGGAAGTCAATCGCCAAGAAATTTTCTGCCCCTAAACAGAATCTAGGTAAAAAGAAGAGTGTGGATCAGAAAGGTTCTATTTATCTACAAAACAGTGAGCCACAGAATGATAGAGTTGATGTTCAGGGAGTAGGTGATGACAAGAATCTTTTTAACTATCAGAAGTTGGAGCCAGTGGCCAAATCAAGTACAGAGATAGAGAAGGAGATGGATATTGAGAAGATGGATGATGAAACTGAGTCTCCAGAGGATAAAGAGGAGCATGGAGCACATACTGCTGATATAGTGATGGAAGAAAATGCACATGGCGATGATGTAAATCAAAGTAATGAAAAAGTTGAAGACGCTTCAGAGGCTGGGAACTCAGTTTCTGTGAATGTGGACAAATCTGATGCTACTGAGAAACATGTGGTTAGTACTAAAGCATCGAGAGAGAAAAAACTCCCTCCAACCCAAAAGTCAAAGAAAAAACCAGATCTTTCAGTCAAAGATGCAAGTGATAAGAAGGAAGTTGAAATCAGGGAAGAAGCAACTCCACTTCGAGCTTCTAAGAGAAGCAAGAGAAATGTAAATGATTTGCAGACAGCAGAAGAAGGTGTTTGTAATGATCCTGAAAGTAAGAATGATGACATCAGCACTGAACATGTGCATTCAGCATCTGAAAAGGAAAAGGATAAGACAGAGAGTGTTAAGACCAACAAGGCAACTAAGAGGAATAAACTTCCTCTGAGCAAAACTAAGAAAGATATTGGTCTTTCTAATTCTGTCAAACAAGTAACCGAAACAAAAACTGTTAACAAGAAGGGTAGTAAACCAAGTTCCAGAGCGTGTGATTTTGAAGCACAGAAGGAAAATATGCAAATTCCTGTTGAAAATAAAAACAATCAGAAACAGAAACAGAAACAGGCCTTAAAATCTGAGAAAATTACCCCCAAGTCTACGAAGGTGAACTCAGAAGAAGCTAAGTGGTTCATATTGAGTGGACATAAGTTGCAAAGAAGGGAGTTCCAGCAGATGATTCGGCCATTAAAAGGGAAAATATGCAGAGTCTCTCACCAATGGTCTTATCAGGCAACTCATTTCATTGTCCCTGATCCCATACGCAGAACAGAGAAATTCTTTGCTGCTGCTGCATCTGGAAGGTAAACAACAAACATAAAACATCTCTTGAGTCTTGAGTCTTTACCTTGCTTTGTGGTTGGTTCTAACTTCTAAGTTTAACTTAACTTGGCAGTTGGATTCTCAAGACTGATTACTTATCTGCAAGTAACGAGGCAGGAAGATTCCTAACAGAGGAACCTTACGAATGGCACAAAAATGGCCTAAGTGAAGATGGTCAAATTAACTTGGAAGCTCCAAGGAAGTGGCGCCTTTTGAAGGAGAAAACCGGGCATGGTGCTTTTTATGGAATGCGGATTGTCATATACGGGGAATGCATTGCACCCACTTTGGTAAATTTTTTTTAAAAAAAAAAAAAAAAAAAAAATATAGCAACCAACCAAATCCAAATGTTTAGATGGTTTTAATTTGAAACATGTTACAGGACACTCTTAAGCGGGCAGTGAAGGCTGGAGATGGGACCATAGTGGCGACTTCCCCACCATACACCCGCTTTCTAGACACTGGTATCGACTATGCCATTGTGAGCCCTGGCATGCCACATGTCGATATATGGGTTCAGGAGTTCATAAAACATGAGATACCGTGTGTCTCGGCTGATTACCTTGTGGAATATGTATGCAAACCCGGATATCCTCTTGAATCGCATGTCCAATATGATACAAATGTTTGGGCAGAAAGGTCATTTAACAATCTCAAGAATCGTTGTTTAACCATCGAAGAAGAAGAAGAGTCAATGGGTCCCACAACACCTGAGAGCAGTGATGTGGCATGTGAGGTATGTGGATCACGTGACAGAGGTGAAGAAATGTTGATGTGTGGGAATGAAAGCGGTTCGATTGGATGTGGTGTTGGGATGCATATCGATTGTTGTGATCCACCATTTGAAGATGTTCCTGAGGAAGATTGGTTTTGTCTTAATTGTAGCAAACCCAAGGTTACAGTTACTAATAATTCCAAAAAGACCACCAGCAAAAGGAAAGCCAAGTAAACATAACTTCCATTTTTATTTTATTATTATTTTTTTTTAAACCTACCGTTTTGTATATTGTTTTGACATGTAGATATTGTGAGTTAGTTAAAGCTTTAGTTGGATATTAAAGTTAAGTGTCGATTAGCGTCTCTTCTTTTGTTCCTCATTTCTCTACTGCAACATCTCAGGTGCTATAGTGGAGTTGTAAAACTTCATTAGCTTGATTTGCTTTCAAAAGTTTAAAAAACTGGGTGAATCCGATTGCTTTTGTTTAATGGATGAATAATATTTACTTGAGATGGTAGTTGATCGTAATATTAGTTTCTACTAGGTAAAAACTTGTGTGCTATACAGATGGTTGACAACTTAAAATCGCAAAAATAACAAACAATAGGTGACTTGGTATAAAAGAGTGAAACATTAGTAACTAGGTATCTTTAAAGTTTAAACACAAGTTATAAGTTCTAATTTTTAAGAGAAATAAATATATCGGTTTATTGAAATACATTTACTTATAATAATAACAAAAGATGCTCGTGAAGTTGGAGCGCATACTATATCAAAATAGCAATTTGATATTTAAACTAAATAGAAACAAAAAATCTATCTTCTTAATATATATGTTACAAAATGTACAAATTATGAACAACTTAAAGGGTTAAAAGCGGTCGACAAGCATAGAAGCCAAAGTTTCTAGTACCAACTCCATGTTGATTCACATGATTAGACTTGGAGGAATCCGATTCACATGGGCTCAAGCATGGATCAACTTATCGCTGCAATTTTCGTAATCCCAATTTTCTTTGTCAAAATTTAAAGATCACAGGGAAGTTAAAAAAGGTTCACCGATAAAAATAAAAATAAAAACCCAATAATTTTAGGTAAAGGAAAAGAACTACAAGTGTTAAATAAACAATACAACAAATATTTTTTTTTCTACAAAAGTCAATATGCATTTGCAATGCAACAATATACTAAGCAATCAAGGAATAGAACATAAAAAACCCACAAATGGAAATCTTGTATAGCATTGTACTTTGAAATTCTATGCATGATAGCATTGTACTTTAAACTATAATGGGACAAGAAGTCAATATTATAATTCATATCAACATATAATACAACACAATATATTATTATTCAAGAAAGCACAAAAATCACATGTAACTTGTTCTAAATTATCCCCAAAATTCATAAGCCAAACAAAACTGATGTGCACAGACTTCAACCTTCCCCTTTAAGCTTATACTGAAAAGAACATACACAAAAAAATGATCAAGAATGCAAAAATATTAGCAACAATATGGAAAATGGTGAAGATTGAATTACCATATGCCATAGTCAAATTTAACAACAAAATCAATCTCGGACATAAATAACTTGACAATACCCCATTCGCTACATATATCAATACATTTGATTAAACACCTACATCCTCCTTTTGAAGCTAAAACTCACATAAAATGAAAGTACTTTATTTTAAACTAGTTTATAACCCGACGGTTACAAAATTAATTAAAATTTTATAGTAAAAACTCAAAAATTTTAATTAATTATTTTAAATAAATTATTAATTAAGAGATTTTTTTAGTTATATAAATTTTAATAATTGATTTAAATAAATATGTGAAATTATATCATTTTATAATTTGTATTAATTTTATTTTAATTTTTATTCTAATGTTATTAATTTAATGTAATTACTAATTAGAGTGAGAAATTTAAAATTTGAAATGGAGTTGACAAATAACATGCATTAATTAGGAGACATAATAAGGTGACTCATGATAAAAGGAAAATAAAATATGCATTAATTAGGATGCCTAATAGAATGACACATGTCAAAAGGAGAATAGAACTATTCTTTTATTAGAATAGGGATTAATCAAGTAGAGATTAAAATGAAACGTGATGGGGGTTTAATTAAAGGTTTTATACATCAATAATGAAAAGGAAATTGGGTTGGACTGCATGGGAAAAACTACCAAGGATCAGGGACCAATTCTATCAAGTCTGGAGACTTGATCACATGTTTGTTTGAAACTTTATCCATTAAGAAGCTATTAAGTACCATATCTAAAAAGTTAGAAGCTTGGACTTAGTGGTTCAGAGCTTAACAAAATAAGCTGTTGGGGACTTTCACCACGACGCAGTGTGGTGTTGGCCACGACGCGGTGGACTGCAAGTCCCGCGTCTGTTTTGTCGTCTTGTCGCCAAGACATAGTCATGGGGTTGGCCACGACGCGACGGGTCAACCGTTGACTTTTTGATTAGTTTGACTTTTGGTAAAACTTTGGTAGAATTGAGCATTTGACTAAGGGATAGTCTCGATTTGGCATTAGGTTGCTCGGGTTAGTTGTTCTGTTGTTGAGCTTTTGTTGTTTGGTTCAGGTGAGTCTTCTCACTATACTATGTATGATACTAGGTGTCATTGTATGTTTGTTTGTCTTTGTGACTTACATGAAAGACCATGGTTGGATCATGACAGGAAAGACTGCAGCTGGGTTGTAGCAACGGAAGTGAGTGTAATAATATGGTTGGATCATATCATTCATATGGCTGAAATATACTAGGATGAAATAGGCCGTATGTAACGCCCACAAATCCGGGCTAGTCAATTTAGAGACGATGAGCATCAAAAATGAGTTTTTGATGGAAGATTATTTAAAAGGATTAATTTTAACCAAGTTGTAGTAAATGTTACAAGGGTTCCGTACATATAAAGAACGCCGAAATCTGAGTTATAACGAAGAAGTTATGGCCCGTCGAAGTTTTACGGCAAAACCGGCACGGCATCGGGAGATGTAAATAGTGAATTTACGGTAGAAGACTTTTTAGCCTTAGTGATCTAAAAAAAATTTGTAGTATACGTTAAACTGAGAACATAAAAAAAAAAAAAAAGAACGCCCAAATCTGACTTCGTATGAGGAAGTTATGAATTTTCTAAGATTTGGCATAGCAGTGCACGACCCGAAACTCGAATTTTAGTTCGAGCGGTTTTTGGCCTACGCGACCTAAATGAGAGTTGAATATCTCATTAATAGGAACTCAACGGTAAAAAGACAGACGAAAACGGAGTCCGTATGTAGAAGTTATGAATTTTACGCGGACATTTAACAATATAATCTCCTCCTACTGTTAAATTTAAGATCAGTCGAGAATTAGCCGACGGAGTCTAAATGAAAGTTTTAGATATTGTTTTTACCTACACGTGGATATAAAGAATGTCGAGAGTAGAGCTCGTATGTTAAAGATATGGACGAAACTTGGTCCCTACTCTTCGAGCGCGATAAATTCGATACAGTTTTGTAAATCTGAGATAAAATGAGAATTAGCTGACGGCGTCTAAATGAAAGTTGTAGTACTCGTAAATACCAACGCGTGGATATAAAGAACGTCAAAAATGGAGTTCGTATGAACGAGTTACAAATTATAATAGCATTTTTACGTATTAAAATAAAGTATAAATCATATATATGTACACACATATATATATATATATATATTATATATAATATATATATATATATATATATATATATATATATATATATACACAAATGTATATATCATTAGAAAGGTATCGACGATGCGGTTATTATAAGACTAGTGTTGAGTACTTTCGACATTAGTTTAGTACAAATATCATTAAATCTATCTAAAATAGTATTATAAAGGGATGTTTAGTCATTTATATAACTATAAGGTCATTAAGTAACTATGGAGGGTAGTTTTTGAAAATTCAATCACTATAAATAAGAGCCTCTAGCTCTCATATTTCTTGCACCATTCTCTTGATTCAAGAGTCTTTCTCTTCTTATTCCCCGAGCATTTCGGTCCTTCGTGATTCGACTTCTCTTTCTGTAGTTTTAGTATAGTAAGGTGAGCGCTGAAGCGCTGCACGAATCTTTCTTAGAAAGATTCAGCGACGAAGTTCTGCCCCTGCAGAGCCCGACTCCTAGCTAAAACTCCCTTGTAAGTAAGTTATGCTTACCCTATTTTAATATAGCTTATATTTAAAATTAGTATTGTTATTATGAACTTATAATAAATATTTGAGCTATTATTATGACTTATATAAGTGTCGTTATAATATCTTTTTAACTACTCGCGCCACGGGGAATCTGGTTTAAAGGGCCGCATAGGGTTGTTGGATTTCAAAAGTGCTATATGCCAAAATGGTCCTCTCCTCCGATGTTTTATGTCTGCCCCTGTCTGTACATAGTGGTTGGAAAATATTGTTTAAACGCTTATATAATAATAATAATAATATGACTAATAATTAGTCACGGTAAATATTAGACTAAACTCTAGTGGTAATAATACTAGGTTTCGTCGAAGGAAATTATTTTAAAGTAAACGAAGCGCTGTCCGAGTACAAAGTCACCACCTTATGAAATGAGTGCATAGTTACTTTCATCTTACACATAGATATGAAGTATTTTATATAAATTACGTGATATGTGTGCATACTATCTGAATACTTGCTGTCTATGCTGGATGATGATTTTATACATGTTTTAAAATGATTTAAACTGTATATGTATTTTATATCTACAATATGTTGGGTATGACATGGGTAGATGAAAATAGTTGGTGTGTAATGAAATAAAATGATGAGAGATAGGTGATGATAGGAAGGTGAGGATAATTAGGTGAGGATAGATAGGTGATGATGAATTAGGGATGTAGGATGAAAGATACCATAACCTTGTCCGACAATGTAGAGATGTAGTCATCTACCAGAGTATAGATGGCGACTACGGACTATTCTAGACAACCCCGTGGAAACACCAGCAAGCTCATAACCTGTAGGTGATGAATTACGAGTTCAGGCGATGTTGTAACTACGTATTCATGTGATGATACTCTAACCCTTACTATGAATTACGAGTTCCAGGCGATGTTGTAACTACGTATTCATGCGATGATACTCAACCTTACTAGGCGCGTATTGAGGGGGTAATCCCCGAATCATTACTGATTATGTGATGTAGGCAATGATCCTCAGGAAAAGT